TGACAGAGTGAGACTCCATCTCAATTAAAAAAATAAAAAATTTTAAAATGTTAATTAAATTTAAAATTACCTTCAAGTTACCACTCACAGGGCCAGAGGTGTTGAAACTTGATTTTCTCAGCTTTGGGGTGTGTGGGCTGAGGGCCAGGGGTCTAGAGCTCCCAGGATGCTGGTTTCTTCAAGAATCCTACCCATTGGCTGGGTGTGGTGGCTCGTGGCTGTAATCCTGGCACTTTGGGCGGCTGAGGTAGGCGGATCACCTTAGGTAGGGAGTTCGAGACCAGCCTGGCCAACATGGTGAAACTCCATCTTTACTACAAATACAAAAATTAGCCGGCCATGGTGGCAGACGCCTGTAGTCCCAGCTACTGGAGAGGCTGAGGCAGGAGAATTGCTTGAACCTGGGAGGCAGAGGTTGCAGTGAGCTGAGATGGCGTCACTACACTCCAGCCTGGGCGACAGCGTGAGACTTCGTCTCAAAAAAAAAAGGAATCCTACCCCTTAACTTCAGTGTGCTGTATACATGCAATTATTTTCAGTGCATGCAGTAATGCAGAAAGGCTGGTAAATATTGCTCTAGGTAAAATGTAGTCTTTTTAAAATATGTGCTGTGTAAAAATGATGATGGAAGACAAAGTAGTTGTGGTCTTTGGGAAAATCCTAGTGGCCATTTTACTCCAATGTGGGAGTCCTTGGCCTTGTTTCTGCTGGGAGCCTTTTTAGAATGGTTGTGACCTGGTGTGTTCTTGGTGAGGGCACTCACCCAGTACCCCATAAACTTGCTCACTGCCAGTGTCTCCCATACAAGCCTGTTGGAAGGGAAGGAAGATTCACATTTTAGGAAATGATCTTGCATTGACTGTAAGTTACCAAGAAATAGCCCATCAAAAAACTTAGATATGTCCACATTCTGTGGGAATAATGCCCTTCCAATCCACCTCAGAACTGGTATCACAGCTGAGAACCACTGTCCTACAAGAGTAAGTTAAATTTCATGTTGTGGCCAACTGAGGATAAGTTAATTTCAAACTACCAAATAAGAGAGATATTTTTTATAAGTATTAGTGGCAAGTAAAAAAATAATTTTAATAGTATTGCAGCATAGAAGTAAGAACTTTATCAAGTTCAATTTTTTTTTTTTTTTTTTTTTTTTTTTTTTGAGACAGGGTCTCTTTCTGTCACCCTGGCTGGAGTACAGTGACACAGTCATGGCTCACTCTGGCCTTGACTTTCCCAGGCTCAGGTGATCCTCCCACGTCAGCCTCCCAAGTTGTGTGTCACCACACCCGGCTGGTTTTTGTATTTTTTTTGTAGAGATGAGGTTTTGCTATGGTGCCCAGGTTGGTCTCGAACTCTTGGGCACAAGCGATTCACCCACCTCAGCCTTCCAAAGACCTGGGATTACACATGTGAGCCACTGCACCTGGCCTTAATTTTCATCTGAATTGATTTGTTGTTCTGTTGCGTGCGTCCTGGTGATCTGATGATGTTGGTAACATTGTCTGTTCTTTATGTTTTCTGGAAAAGTAACTGAATTAGTATGTCAGTGTAGTACTATCTGAAGAAATCTAAGAGCTATTAAAATGCTTAAAAATAAAATGATCAATTCTTCTTTTGTTCTCTTGACAGGATAATTGAAGCTATCTGCATAGGTTGGTTCACTGCGGAGTGCATCGTGAGGTTCATTGTCTCCAAAAACAAGTGTGAGTTTGTCAAGAGACCCCTGAACATCATAGATTTACTGGCAATCACACCGTATTACATCTCCGTGTTGATGACAGTGTTTACAGGCGAGAACTCTCAACTCCAGAGGGCTGGAGTCACCTTGAGGGTACTTAGAATGATGAGGATTTTTTGGGTGATTAAGCTTGCCCGTCACTTCATTGGTCTTCAGACACTCGGTTTGACTCTCAAACGTTGCTACCGAGAGATGGTTATGTTACTTGTCTTCATTTGTGTTGCCATGGCAATCTTTAGTGCACTTTCTCAGCTTCTTGAACATGGGCTGGACCTGGAAACATCCAACAAGGACTTCACCAGCATTCCCGCTGCCTGCTGGTGGGTGATTATCTCTATGACTACAGTTGGCTATGGAGATATGTATCCTATCACAGTGCCTGGAAGAATTCTTGGAGGAGTTTGTGTTGTCAGTGGAATTGTTCTGTTGGCATTACCTATCACTTTTATCTACCATAGCTTTGTGCAGTGTTATCATGAGCTCAAGTTTAGATCTGCTAGGTATAGTAGGAGCCTCTCTGCTGAATTCCTGAATTAATGCATTGCAAATCAATTCTTGCATACACTTCATAGAAAGACCTGATGCTACTTCATATTTATGTGTTTCTTTCTGGGTGAGCACTGCAGTGGCATTGTCATCATCTTGGTAGGGTAAAAATTATCCTTCCCAGCCGAAGGGATAAAACAGTTTACTTATTATGGAGTAAATAGAATTGAGACTGCAAAGGAAGAATAATGACTCCTAGAGTAAACTTTTAGGACCTGGTTTTATTTGGACTTGTTTTCCCATTTCCTTGAATTATTACACATTTTAAAAAAATACCTTATTTGAACATTTTAAAACAGAAAGGTACAATTTTCCAAATGTTTTTCCATCTTATGAATTCAGAAGCTTGGAACTTATAATGTTTTTTGTTTGAGAGTAACATTTTCATTTCTAAATGTTTTATAATTTCTCATATCAATGTCAGAAGTATCCTGGAAACATATGTCACATGCAGGAACTGTTTAACAAATACTTAAAAAATTTGGCCAAAATTTAAACTGTATAATAGAGCTAGATACAAGCAAGAATAGTATTTGAAAGACTTTTCCAGCATACTTCTCAATTCTTTGCTTTATTTTTGTGCCAATTATTCACCTTATTGTGCAGCTTCATGGAAGCTTGAGTATGTTCTCCCTTTTCCATTTTGGATTTATCTCTTTACTGAAATGACTCAAAAAGTATTTAAGAATTGATGAGAGCTTGTGTTGTTTAGCATCTTACTGGATAATATTTGAATTCATTGCTGTTCCTAGGTGATAACTGTCCTAATATTTAGATGTCCAAACAAGAATACTTCCAACATAAAAATTATAATAGGAATAATTTGAGATGACTCAATATTACAATCTCTTCTTCTTTTAACCTCTTCCCCCAAACACTAGAGGTTTAATAAGACTTATCAGATGAAAGGATATTTATATAGCCTTTTAGTACCAAAGTCGTACTTATGTGTTGTCACTGGATTGTCATAAAAGGAAGAAATTAAATATTACTGTACTCTTAGTTGCTGTGTAGCTAAGTCAATTTTAAGCCAGTAAAAGCAATGGATACATAATTATTTGATCTGATCTTTAACCATTGTGAATCACAGCTACAGCAAAACCCTTCTTGTAAGAATACTGACTAATACGCCATGTTAATCTGGCTAGATTATTAGGACTAGGTAATGTAAAAGTGATGATTGTTTAGTAACTAAATTTTAGCAATAGGAGTTAGAATTTCGCTTTTTCAACCAGTTACCATAAAGAAGTTAGTGTATATATAAACACAAATAATTAGTGACAGATTCATAAAAAATTGAATGTTGTACACAGTAATTTTGTCAGGGGTAGAGAAGACAGGGATTGGGAAGTGGTGGGTAGGATGAAGGACCTGGATATATTTATCAAATAAAGGGTTACCAGAAGTGTTCATTAAAGGAATTGTAGCCATCATCTAGTTCAAACCTCAACTATTACAGATAGAAAATCAGGGCAGGAGAGGATATAATTGTGAAGGAGTCAGGGCTAACACCTGGATCTCCGGAAACCTAGCCTAGCAGTTTAATCTTCACACACCTCTGGGTTCTGAGAAAAGCCTGGAAAAATCACACTTCTTTGTCATTGTCATGCTGAGGTAATAATAGCAGAACTGTTTTCTTTTCCTTAATTTCCTTTCCTAAGCTTATGTAATACTTTGGCCATTAAATATCTTGCCTTATCTTCCCTACTACTGCTGGTATGCTATTTCTTACATACTCAAAAGAAATTCGATTATTTATTGTATATTTATTGTATTCTAATATAATTGAAATAAATGGCATGGATTTATTTTTTCTTACCTATTTGGATTAAAGCTTTGTGGTTCATGCAAACAATGTGCAGATGACAGCACCTCCATATTACTAATAAAAATATGATATCCATCAATTTTACTGGTACTGGGACCGCTTTATGTGAATATGTCCTATCTTCCTAAGTAAATTTTAACTGTCTTGAGAGCTGGGATGCTCTCTCATGCATACACCTTTATATCCCCGACAGTGTCTGTTACAGACTCGGGCACAAACAGTTGACTGATTTGAGGGGAGAAACTTCTGTGTGAAGAGACAAGGAGAAGCATACATCTATAGTTATATATATATATGTATGTGTGTGTGTGTGTATATATATATATGGCATGTACATGTGCAAATATACACACAGATTTCATACTACCCTTAGGTAACAAGTGTGAAATCTCTTGTTGGTGATTCCAGACTTTCCACAGGACCAATTTTCATAAAGAAGCATGTTGGATAAATGCTAGTGGCAGTTAAGCTACCCATTTATAAGGAGACGATGAGATGTGATAGAGTAGTTCATTCATAAATGAAAAAATATGTATTAGGGTTTTGTCTTTATGGATGTTATATTTTTTTAGGAACAGCATTTTCTTGTAACTTTCCCAGAGTGTTACTACTTTTATCATTATTTATCTATTTATTTTTTTCTAGAGACAGAGTTCTGCTTGGTTGACCAGGCTGGAGTGCAGTGGTGTGATCATAGCTCACTGCAGTCTCCAACTCCTAGGCTTAAGCAGTCCTCCCACCCCAGCCTCCCAAGTTGCTAGGACTATAGGTGTGCATCACCATGCTGGTTAATTTTTTTATTTTTATTTTTTTTTGTAGAGATAGGGGTCTCACTATGTTGCCCAGGCTGGCCTCAAACTCCTGGCCTCAAGCATTCCTCCCACCTCAGCCTCCCAAAGCTCTGGGATTATGGGCATGAGACACTGTGCCTGGCCTGTTGCTGCTTTTTAAAAAAAACCCATTAAGTATCACTTCTTTCTTAGCTATACTTACAGACATCTCTTATAACTCAGTCTTCGTGGCAGAAATGTTTTCATTAATATCTATAGTGGTACCAGTAAGTCAGACAGTATCCTAAATTAAAATACCCAAAGAGGAAAAAAGCCCTCATCTCTGAATCTTTAATCTGATTTTACCACACCTGAATTTACATGACTTGATCTAATCTGTAACTTGTTTTGTATTCTCTAAAATGGGATTTTTAGGATTACAAAAACAAAATTAGGGAATACATTAGAAAGTGAACAAATTCAAGACTTTTATTACTGTATTGTCATTGTTGGTAATTGAAACAGTTGCATTTGTTCTTGGGTTTTTTAGTTACTTATAACTACCCATTTGTAAGTTCGTACTTTCTGAAAAGTTATTTCCACGATGGCTGTCAATAAGTCAAAATAATTTTTCTCTTTTTAAACCTTTGTCCAGATGTCCTGTGATCTGGAAGAGGTGGAGATGGGGTTAATTTGGATGTTGGTGTTGGGAGAATTTTCCCTGTTGGCTTGGTATTTGCTAATAGCAGCTTATTTTCCTCTTTTTTTTTTTCTCTTTAAAGAAAATAGACAAAAAGATGCAAAACAATATTTGAAATATTAAAGCCTCAGGATAGAATTTCAGACATCCCTTCTGTCCACTTCACCTCTTTTCCATAGAAATGAAAAATAAAACATTGAAAGCTCCTAGCCCTGTATTACTATTCAGCTGTGTAACTCCAAACTTAATGCATAGTGTCATAGAATATTTCGAGTCCTCTGACTCTTCATAAATGTACATTCCCTTATGGTGTGCAATATACAGTTCAATCAAACATAGTCTAATCATTTTATAGGGTCATAGGAAGTTGGAACTAAGGGGGTTGTGGAAACCTTCTGGTCTGTTTTGGCCCAGTTGTATGCCTTTTGTCCGATCCAAATGTTAGCAACCAGGGAACTCTGCTCCCAGTGGGTTGTAATTTAGCCATGGTCACTCTAGTGTCAGGTTAGGTCCCAGAAGCTTGATTTCCAGACTTTTGGCTTAGTACTCTGGATATACTTCCTTTAAGAATTTTGTAACTTCGGAATGCATGAAGGATTTCTTTTGAAAATATTTTCTCGGCCGGGCATGGTGACTCATGCCTGTAATTCCACCACTTTGGGAGGCTGAGGCAGGTAGATCACCTGAGGTCAGGAGTTCGAGACCAGCCTGGCCAACATGGTGAAAACCCATCTCTACTAAAAATACAAAAACTAGTTGGGCATCGTGGTGCCTGTAATCCCAGCTACTTGGGAGGCTGAGGCAGAAGAATCACTTGAACCAGGGAGGCAGAGGTTGCAGTGAGCCGAGATAGCACCTTTGTACTCCACCCTGGGTGACAAAAGTGAAACTCCATCTCAAAAAAAAAAAAAAGAAAAATTTTTCTTTAGGGCTTTGGCGTTCCCCATGTGTTTTCTTTTTCTTTCTTTTCTTTCTTTCCTTCCTTCCTTCCTTCCTTCCTTCCTTCCTTCCTTCCTTCCTTCCTTTCTTTCTTTTTCTTTCTTTCTTTCTCTCTTTCTCTCTTTCTCTCTCTCTCTCTCTCTTTCTCTCTCTCTTTCTCTCTCTCTTTCTCTCTCTCTCTCTCTCTCTCTCTCTCTCTCTCTCTCTCTCTCTCTCTCTCTCTCTCTTTCTCTCTCTCTCTCTCTCTCTCTCTCTTTCTCTCTCTCTCTCTCTCTTTCTCTCTTTCTCTCTTTCTTTCTTTCTTTCTTTCTGTTGGAATTAAGAAGCAGTTATTGCCGGGCATGGTGGCTCATGCCTGTAATCCCAGCAGTTTGGGAGGCCAAGGTGGGTGGATCACTTGAGGTCAGGAGTTCAAAACCAGCCTGGCCAACATAGCAAAACCCTGTCTCTACTAAAAATACAAAAAATTAGCCAGGCTTGGTGACACATGAATGTAATCCCAGCTACGCAGAAGGTTGAGGCATGAGAATCACTTGAACCTGGGAGGTGGAGGTTCCAGTGAGCTGAGATCCACTGTACTCCAGCATGGGTGACAGAGGGAAACTCTCTCTCAAAAAAAAATTGTATATGTACAATAATATATAATCGGCAGAGTTTATTTTTATGATAAAAATATAAAAGAGATATATATTGCTTTTAGAAGCCTTAGATGTCAAGAAGGGGGGCTTGAGACAAATGCATAAGGAACTCAGGTTTTCTGTAGAATTTTTAAAATTACCATATAGTTGTGCACCCATCCACATGTATACAAATAAGTACAGGTATTTGATAGTTGTCACTGCATTATTTAGGACATTCTCAGAACCAGGCTGAGAAATGAGAAATGTCAAGTAACATGGGTTGAAGCTTTAATGGAATGTTCTGGAAAATTCCATTTTGGTCAGAAAAGGTTGCATCCATTTACTTCTCTGTTTGTTCAGCGTTTTTTCATATGGTGTTTCACTTCCTGGTTTTCCAGAGCCCATCTGCACTCAGAGGCCTGGGCATATCAGTTCTGCCTCTGAAAGTAGACTAATGATTTACTGCCTCATTTGCAGTGAGGCCTTCCATAAATTTGTGAAATGTCATCCAGAAGCATGATTATATTGTCCCATTCTGTGGTTAACGTATGCCCAAAGTTTCAGATTTTTCTGGATCTTCCAAATATTCTCAATAAGTACTGGAGCTTTTGACTATTAGCATTAGCTCAATTGTCAGTTTACTGTTATTTGCTTAGAAAATTGAACTTGATAATCTGCATTTATGCTGTAATTTAAACAAATACATTTTAAGTAGCTTTGGTGGGAATTCTTTGGTTTATCTTTTAAAATATCAACAAGACTGTACCAAATGTAATAATAACATTTAGTACATGAAAGTGAAGGGAGAATGTTATTTGGCTTTTACCTACCAAGAGTAAGTGATTCTATGTTATTTATATCTGAAGTAGTGCTTTGGTGTACTTATTTATGCAGCACTGTATTAAAACTAAAACTAAAATTTCCTATAATTTTATATTAGATAGGATCACCCCCACTTCAGTTATTTGTGTTATTTGGAAATAATTCTATAGTTCTGCCCATGACAGAGTGGAGGCAGTTTGTAGTGTGTATTGGTTTGTTTTTGTTTTGTAGTAGAGACGGGATCTCCCTATGTTACCCAGGCTGGTCTCAAACTCCTGGGCTCAAGCAATGACATTTGCTGTAGTAATAGATGATGATTTGTTCAACTTAGGTATTGTTTTTCAACTGCATATTACAACCTTGATCTTATAACTCTGATAGAATTCCATGCTGTCTTTCTCTACAATATAGAGGACTAGATAATTTTACTTTCTTAGTAGAGAGTAATATTTATAGTTACAAATTCTAAGCTGTGATAAAAGTGGAACATTTATTATGTGATTGAAGTGATACACTTTTTTGTTTTTTTTTTTGGAGACAGAGTTTCACTCTTGTTGCTCAGGCTGGAGTGCAATGGCGCAATCTCAGCTCACTACAACCTCCACCTCCTGGGTTCAAACAATTCTCCTGCCTCAGCCTCCCAAGTAGCTGGGATTATAGGCGCCCACCATCACACCCTGCTAATTTTTGTATTTTTAGTAGAGACGGGGTTTTGCCATGTTGGCCAGGCTTGTCTTGATCTCCTGACCTCAGGTGGTCTCTACCTCAGCCTCCCAAAGTGCTGGGATTACAGGAGTGAGTCAGCGCACCTGGCCCACATATTTATTTTTTAAAACCATACCTATGTCAGTGCTGTTTGGTAAAATAAAAAAAAAATTAAACCATACCCACGCTTTTATACTATATACTCTGAAGTAAAATGGAAATCATAAAATCTGTGTAAGGCTTAGCTTTCAGATCTATGTGAAGGTTGTTTATTTTTGTTCCTAGGACAGAGGTGGAAACTTCAGATGTTTTGCTTTGAGATAAACTGCTTAATCTCTTACCTATATTTTTTATTCAGTAATTCTTACCATTTGGAAGGCTCTTAAAAACAATAAATAATACAAATCATATACATATTCTAGTTTTAAAGTTAGAATGATGGGTCATGGTTGCTTTCTTTCTAAGATTTGACTTATATTAATTTAATGAAAACCACTTTTTATTAGATTCCCAGTTAACCCTG